TAGTGGGAGTGGGGTTTGCACATCAGTCATTTTTCTTTTGGTACCGGTGATATTCACGTTCGGGTGATGCCTTTTCAAATGAGTGTGCAAGTTTGATGTATTGCCAGCCGCGTAACCAATGTTAGTTGAACAATGCCGACAAACAGCTTTGGTTCGGTCCACCTGTCTTTGTCCGTCATCCTTGAACGTAGCTGCGAAACCAAAATGTTCCCAAACCGGAGACTTCAATGATGCTGGAGGATTTGAGCTCAACTTTATCTGCGTTCGCCATTTCGACAGTTCCTCAAATTACTGACTACATATGAACGCATCCCTGTGACCAGCTCTCATAGTATGCCTCTCGTCCAATGAAATGACTTGGTCACTCTATGACGCGTTGAACCCAATGTGAGCAAATGACACTGAACGCTGCGACGCAGCACCTGAGATTACTTCCAAAAAGTTGTTCACGTTCTCAATTTTTTACGTTTAACGTTATATTCGTTCGGTACACACGTGTACCGAACCGAAGGGCCTATACCGAATAATTTCGGTACGAATACCGTTACACCCCTACCGTCTAGTCATTGGTGGTGATTTTAACATCCATGTCGACAACCCCCAGGACAGAGGGGCTAAAGAACTGTTGTGTGTTCTTGATAACTATGGACTGACTCAGCATGTGACGGAGCCCACGCACAATAAGGGGCACACTCTGGACTTAATAATCTCAAAGGGTCTGAATATCTCTGAGGTTGTGGTGACTGATGTTGCACTCTCTGATCATTCCTGTGTTTTCTTTGAGAGCTCTAATTCTGTTCACACAAATGTTCAAAAAGAGGTAACCACAAAGCAATATTTAATTGAAAATACTAAGGAAATGTTTACTCAGAAGTTTTCTTCCACACTTGCCCTTGCTAACATCTGAGTAAATGAGCTAGTAGATCATTTTAATTCAAAATGAAAAATGTTATAGATGCCATTGCTCCAACTAAGGTAAAGGAAGTGACTGGCAAGAAAATATCTCCATGGAGAAAGGCCATGACCGTGAGAACAGAAAAAAAGAGTGTTGAAAAGCTGAACGTAGGTGGCGAAAAATAAATCTCCAGGTTCTTTTTGACATCCATAATTTTAGTTTTAGGCCCATATCAAACCTCCCATTTCTAGGTAAAATCATTGAAAAAGTTGTTTTTCAACAGCTGAGTAATTTCTTGAATTTAAATAACTTTTTCGATGTGTTCCAGTCAGGCTTTCGACCAAACCACAGCACTGAGACTGCTCTTGTTAAGGTATTCAATGACATCCACTTAGACACAGACAGTGGCAGAACTTCAGTGTTAGTATTATTAGATCTCAGTGCTGCGATTGACACTGTTGACCACAACATATTACTAGACCGACTGGAAAACTGGGTGGGACTTTCGGCAACAGTTCTAAATTGGTTTGAGTCCTACTTAAAGGACAGAAAAAATGTTGTTTGTATAGGTAAATACACATCTGAGTTGTAAACACTGAGTAAGTGCATTGAACAAATCAATGACTGGATGTGTCAGAACTTTCTCCAATTAAACAAAGACAAAACTGAGGTAATGGTTTTTGGAGCCAAGGCAGAACAGATAAAGCCAGAAATCTAGGTGTAGTCATGGACTCTGACCTGAGTTTCAACAGTCACATTAAAACAATTACTAAATCAGCCTACTATCACCTAAAGCAGTGGTTCTCAAATGGGGGTACGCGGACCCCTAAGGGTACGATGGAGTACTGCAGGGGGTACGTGAGATTTATTTTATGTTAATGAAAAAAAACACATAAGTAATGCATTTAAACAAAGTACTAATAGTAGATTAACTACTTTATTCAAAGGTTTACAGTAATTCTGGATAATAAAATGGAAAAAAGAAACGGGGTGCTCTCTTTTCCTCTCCCTCTCCTGACAGCCCGTCAGTCTCGTGCAGCTCGCTGAACCTGTAATAAGTGACCCGACAGTAAAGAATAAATATATTTATAACTAGTTTAGCTAGTTCCAGAGTAGATAAACTAGCTAGGTCTAACTCTTAGTGTATTTAATTAATAAATACATAAATATACCAATTTTAGGTAAAGTAACAAAGTTTGAGCAGTGTGGGTTTTATATTAACCTCTTAAGCACGGCGGTCATTGGACCCCTCCCACCGTTTTTTTTTTCGAGATAATGTCTCAGGGCTTCTTAACATTTATGAAACTATTAATGTGTAGCACCAGATTAACGGGAATAATCTCAGCTAACTGAAGATATGAACCGTTTTTACCAAAACAAAACACAAGTCTCAGAAGATGCTTCTAAATGACCCCTGAGCGAAAACATTCTAACGCACTGCGGCACCCAATTCAAGATAAAGATACCCTTATTACTTATCGTAGCTGCACATACAATATAGCCGATTAAAGCTGAGACTCCACGGATTATTTAGGTATAGTATCATCACTGAGCGATCCGAACTTGCGACAGGGGAAGCAAACACAGACATCACAACACGTACCTTTACAGAGCATTTACGGCAGATCGTCTCACCGTAGCTGTCAATTAGGTCAAAAGACGTGTTCAATGGCATTAAAACGAAAGAAAAAAATGCTACAACTGTTGATCCATAGGTTGATAATGTACCTGTGCCTTTTAAAAAATTATTTATAATCCATAATTCCATTTTTTATGTAAAAATCGGAGCGGAAAAGTTAGCTGCTAATGGTAGCCACCAGAGTGTATGCAGCTTCCGGTTTTGGTAACGCGTCACTCTCACTCCTTATTTGTTAACGTTTTGGTGTGTATATAACTTTCCCTCGATTCCATTGGCTCTAGCGGTTATAAAGAGATTTTATTCATCAAAATCGAGCAAGGGGGGCCAGAGATAGGTCAAATCCACCCAAATGACCCCAGAAGTGGGTTTTTTTGGCTAAATCTCTCTAAAAAGGTCAAATGTCACTTGTTTTGCATCAATCTTGATACAGGGTACTTATTATATGTTGTACTTTGGATTCCTAAAGCTTTTAGTAAGGCAACTGCAGTTATTACACTTCACGTTTTGAAATATGTGTAACTCTGTTAACCTCTTAAGCCCTGAGCCTGTTTTTCAGGTCTCAGGCTCGAAAATGACATTCCCAGAACAAATGACCATATCTTCCCTTCTAAAAGGGTTAAATTAATCATCTTTTTTCTCAAAGTAATGATAAACCTGTGAGTTGGATGTAGAAAAGTCAGAATCAATATAGATGTTTTTTATTTTAAAGAAAATTCAGATTTTACATAGTAAAAAACTGTAAATTATAGTGTCCGTCCAAAAATTCTTTTTTACTTATAGTGAAAACTACCCTTGGATGATGGGTTAGTAGACTGTCACCGAGAATGACAAAGATCCTCAGTGAAGCACAAGCCCATGTTTCTCACTAAATTGTAAGTACAACTTATTAAAAAGATCAGTTCAATGCAACTAATGTCGTCTTAGTGTTATTGCATGATGTTAAAATTGGTTTGCCATGAATTTAGTGATGGATTGTAAACATTTGAAATGTAGCATTTAAGTGTTTCTCAGTTACAATGTTGTTGTTTTAATAAATCAGACACTGATGGTGCAGCGCTGTACCTCTTTATATAGGCATTTTTTCCTTAACAAATTGTTTTTGCGCTGATCAGGGGGGGCTTGGCTGAATTTTTTTCTCCAAAGGGGGTACATTATTGAAAAAAGTTTGAGAACCATTGACCTAAAGAACATATCTAGGATTAAAAGACTAATGTCACAGCAGGTTTTGGAAAAACTTGCCCATGCTTTTATCTTCAGTAGACTGGACTACTGTAATGGTGTCTTCACAGGTCTCACTAAAAAATCTATTAGAAAGCTGCAGCTGATTCAGAACTGCTCGAGTCCTCACTGACACTAAGAAAGTGGATCACTCCTGTTCTGAAGTCCTTACACTGGCTTCCTGTGTGTCAAATACTGGAGTTCAAAATACTGCTGCTGGTTTATAAAGCATTGAATGGTTTAGGCCCAAAATACATTTCTGACTTCCTGCTAAACTCTGAACCATCCAGAACTCTCAGGTCTTCAGGGACTGGTCAGCTTTCTGTCCCCAGAGTCAGAACTAAACATGGAGAAGTTCAGTTATTATGCTCCAAATATCTGGAACAAACTCCCAGAAACCTGCAGGTCCGCTGCAACTCTTACTACTTTTAAATCCAGGCTGAAGACTTTTCTTTTTGCCGCTGCTTTTAATTGAACTGTTCATATCCTACACTGCACTGTAACTTGTATTCATGTATTTTGTCTTTTAATGTTTATTGTATTATCTTTGCTTTTTAATTACTGTTTTTAAATGCCATTTTCTTAATGTCTTTCATTTTTGTAAAGCACTTTGAAAGGTACTATATAAATAAACGTGCCGTGCCTTACTCTCTACACTGATGATTGTGTCTGTTCTGCAGTACTGCAATGCTACCTGGTACAAGTGTTTGTCAACAGCTTTAAAATCAAATCTGCTCAAAGATTGTTGGTCACCCTGTCAGAGACTTTCTGACTCAGCAGACCATAATAACCTGAGAGGCTGTCCAACAACATCACCTGGGACCCAAAGCATGCTCTGAACAGAGAATATAAACTGCTACCATCTAATGGAGATTCAATAAAGTCAGACTGAAGCATCCTTTGTGCTCCAGTCAGTCCTCTCAGTAAACACAGAGCTGAGTCCAGATCAAAAGCACGCTGAAGGCTCTTTGAGCAGGTTGTCTCTCACTGATCCTGCTGTTATGTTACATGTTTGTTGTTTATGTATTGTGTCTTGATATTTGTTTATGTTGATGTTACAAATGGAGCTGCTGTGATGCAAGTCACATTTCAGACTTGATCAATAAAGTATTATCGTGTCGTATACAACAACGTTCTAACCTATATCTAACCATATTGTGCATTCATATTGTATTTTCGAAACAGGTTGTGATCTTTCATTTGGGGATAACAGTGATAGGAATATATTGTGATGAAGTGCACACTGACCTGAGCTCCAGGGGTCTCTTTGTTCTCCTCCATGCTGCTCTCAGTGCTCCTTCTGTGTCTCTGAAATAATCAACACAACTACAGCTGACACAAAACAAGACAACTCAATACAACCGACAGACGCAACTAAACAAATCCACAGCCACTTCGTAGGTTCATAGCAGAGGAGAGAAGTAACTAAGTACATTTACTCAAGAACTGTACTCAAGTACTATTTAGAGGTACTTTTACTTTACTTGAGTATTTCCATGTAATGCTACTTTGTACATTTAGAACAGTTCAGAGGTAAATGGTGTACTTTTACTCCACTACATGTATTTAATATCTTTAGTTACTTTACAGATCTGGATTAATGATGTGAAATATAATCAAGTGTTAAATCAGACTTTAGTTCCACCTGGAGTATTCACAAGCTACCCTGCAGCTTTTAAAGTCATTAAAACTAACACACACACACACTGAAGGATGTTACCTCTCTCTCTCCTCCTCGTCCTGGTTCTTCAGTCTTTCTTCTCCTTGATAAAACACTGCCGTTAAACACACTAATCTCCCTTTAATGCCTTTACTTATGTGTACCGATCAGCCACGTGGTATAAAAAGCTACGAACAAAGAACGGGAACAAAAACACGGTGTAACGGATAAAAGCACGGATAAATCACCCTCCAAGGATAAACTAACTCTTTGTATGTGTTTTTAAAGTCTCTTGAACACATTACATTCGTTATAAAATCTGCATCAACGTCTGTTAGCAACGTGTAGCTTCTGAGGACCGGAAGCTAGAAACGGACCGCCGCAATGCATCATGGGATTAGAGTTTTTGTTTTAAACATCATTTCACTGCCCCCTGTGGTGAAAAGATAGAAGAAAACGAACGGTATTAAAATAAATAATAATTACATTATTATTATTAATAATAATAATAATAATAATAATAATAATAATAATAATAATAATAATAATAATAATAATAATAATAATAATAATAATAATAATAATAATAAATATAAATATGGGACTGGTATGACGGATTTTAAACATTGGGAAAAATGTTGTTGTTTGAGATAATAATTTATTTTTATTATATATGTTTTATAATGATTGATCATTAAAGTGTTCTCAAAGCTGGTAAAGGTGCAGCTAGTTTGAATGACTTTGTATACTGCAGGGTAGCTTGTGAATTTACTCCAGGTGGAACTAAAGTCTGATTTAACACTTGATTATATTTCACATCATTCATCCAGATCTGTAAAGTAACTAAAGGTATTAAATACATGTAGTGGAGTAAAAGTACACCATTTACCTCTGAACTGCAGTGGAGTAGAAGTACAAAGTAGCAAAATTGTACTTAAGTACAGTACTTGAGTAAATGTACTTAGTTACTTTACACCTCTGTTAAAGATACATCTAAAATGACCATAACATCACTCAAATAGGATGTAATTGCGTATTTGGTTTAGATATATTTACTAACTTTTACTAAATTATGTCTTGTCAGAAAGTGTTTCCAATCACCCACAGAAATGTGACTTGCTTTTTGCTGAATTTGAAACTCATTGGCCTACTTACATCCAAACAGTCCTTCCTTTCATATTCTGTTTTTAAACTAGTGAACAGAAAAGGAACTGCAAAGGGTTTTAGAGTTTTGAGTTTTTACCTTAATGACCAAAATATCTTTGAGTGAGAGGAGGGAGGGACCTCTCGGAAGTAATTTCCAAACAAAAGCCTTCGTCTGGTAAAAGACCCTCGATGACAGAGGAAGGTTTTGGCTATTGATAAGAAGAGCCTTAAAGAGGGCGGGATCAGGGATCAGTCAAAGATATTCAAGACAGATTTTGAAAACAGAAAACGAACGAACATAGCTGAAGACAAAAGATGTCAACAGATGTATCAGGAAACAGATCCTATCTCCATATCGAATGAACTCTGGAAAAAGTGGTGTTTTAAAATATAAAATTAATGACAGGGGAATGAACCGTGGGCTCCGCAAACAGAACCAAGTCTTAGACCTCTAGTCCACGGTGAAGTGTTTTAGATATATGAAAACACAGGTGTTGTCTGACAATAAACACACCAAAAAAAGCAGTTTTAACCTTGTGAACACAATGAAATAGTGACTTTGTGTGGCACTGCTTTTGATTGAACTGTCAAATATTAAAGCCTTAACACAGAGTCAGATGTTCTGGATGGTGAACCATGGAGTACATGCCCATGCATGTAAAAACAATTCTTAGACCACTAGATCATTGTGAAGAACTCTGTATGACCAAAACAATTTGAACTTGAAAACATGTTGAAATATAGTATTGTGGCACTGCTCTTTACGTTACTGAACTGTCAAATGATTAAACCCTTAACTTATAAATAATGTCAAATTAAAAGTGACTTTAAACATAGCTGAATATAAATTACACCTGAGTGATGAAGCCTGTGCCCACATGTAAAACCAGAGCTTAGACCTGTAGGCCACCATTAAGACTTAATAAGAAAACAGGGATTTGTCTAACAATAAAACACAATGTAAAAAGCAGCGTTTTGAATTATTAAACGTGTGAAAAACGCACATTAGACACAAAAAAAGGCAGTTTTTAACTTGAAAACGTGATGAAATAGTGACGTATCGTGGCACTGCTTTTTACATTACATCTACACACTTTACTACACACACCTACAGCTCCTACAGCATAATATATATCAGGTTATAGCCGTTGTATATTTTATTATGTGAAGCACTATATGGTTTTAGTAAATATCTACTCTTTGTTTGTAGATATTTAATAAAGCCTCCAAATAAAGAGAGTAATTTAGGCTTGTTAAATACAGTGGAGGAAATAAGTATTTGATCGCCAGCAGATTTTGTAAGTTTGCCCACTTACAAATAAATTAACAGTCTATAATTTTAATGGTAGGTTTATATAAACAGTGAGAGTAAGAATATCAAAAAGAAAATCCAGAAATTGACATTATATAAAAGATAAACATTTGCCTTTAACTGTGGGAAATAAGTATTTGATCCCCTTGCAACAAACAAGGATTCTGGCTCCACAGACCGGTTAAATAAGTAATCTTCCTTTAAAAGTACTCTCTAATATCAACTTGTTACCTGTTTAAAAGACACCTGTCCACAGAATCAATCAATCAGATTCCAACCTCTCCACCATGGACGAGACCAAAGAGCTGTCTAAGGACCTCAGGGTGAGATCGTAGACCTGCTCAAGGCTGGGATCGGCTACAAGACCATCAGAGAGCAGCTTGGTGAGAAGGAGACCACTGTTGGTGCCCTTATTCAGAAGAATAATGTGTGTTTCTAAATGGAAGTAATAATGTTGATCTTTGGCATCAACCCGACACGTCGTGTTAGGAGGAAGAGAGATGCTGACTATAACCCCAGAACACCATCCGTCAAGCATGGAGGTGGAAACATTATGCTCTGGGGTGTTTCTTTGCTAAGGGGACAGGATGACTTCCTGCATCGAGGAGAGGATGGACGGGGCCAATGTCCTGTAAAATCTTGGCCCATAGCCTCCTTCCCTCAGCCAGGACACTGAAAATGGTTCATGGGTGGGTCTTCCAGCAAGACACTACATCTTAACATACGGCCAAGGCAACACAGGAGTGGCTAAAGAAGAAGCACATTGAGGTGATGGAGGGGCCTAGCCAGTCTCCAGACCTTAATCTCATAGAAGATCTGTGGAGGGAGCTGAAGCTTCCAGATGCCAAGCATCAGCCTCAAAACCTGATGGATTTGGAGAGGATCTTCAGAGAGGAGTGGACCACAATCCTTCCTGAGATGTTCACAAACCTGGTGACCAACTACAAGAAGCATCTGACCTCTGTGTGTCCAACAAGGGTTTCTCCACCAAGAACACATGTTCTGCAAGGAGATCAAATACTTATTTCCCTCGGTTAAATGCAAATCAATGTTTATCTTTTATATAATGTCAATTTCTGGATTTTCTTTTAGATATTCTTACTCTCACTGTTTATATAAACCTACCATTAAAATAGCTGCCCTGGGGCCAAAACCGCGGCCAAAAGATGCGCGATCCAAAAATGAGCTTCCAAATTGCTTTATTTTGAATGGGCGGTGAATTCGAACTGTACTGATTGTCCATCCTGGGACACTTATGCATTGCTAAATAAATTGAGTAGGTTAACATACTTGCCCTCAAGCAATCTCTTTCATATTTACAACACTTATTCACAAGTGGGATGGGGTGTCGGGCACATAATTGCAGCCTCCTTGGCGTGAGCATGCAGGACTTGTGACCTTGTACATTTAAAATACACAGAAAAAGGGTTTCCAAAAAATAGTATCCATTCATGAGGCAGGTTTTTTACTATAAAGCGGCCAAAATCATAAAAATATAAGAAAGAAATATAACTCAAAGCAAAGTGCCGCTGAGGCACCCGCCAGCTAATCTTATGCATGGGTAAAAATCAAGGTCCGAGCTAAAGTTGTTTTAGTGCAATTTATTATACACATATACAAGCACTTTTCTTCGTTCTTACCCGATAGTAAAAAACCTGCCTCATGAATGGATACTATTTTTTGGAAACCCTTTTTCTGTGGATGGCCCGCTGCAAAGAGGGATAAAGGATTTCCTTATTGAAACTTCGGCGAGTCGCTTGGAAAAGGAGGACAGACGCCGGCCTCATTTTGGAAATGTTTGTACTCGAGGCAGTGCGCGTGGGACTCGTGAGTAAACAAGAGGAAAAAATGAATGAGTCATGCTTGTTGTGATTTAATTAATGGATGCATACGCAAATGAACATATGAGCCGAACGTGTCAAATGTTATGGATGGAATCATTAAATGCTTCATCAAAGAAATAAGGACCACAAGCCAGTTTTACGCACGCTGCGGAGAGCGCCGTTATGGATTAACGTAGACGCAATCTGATCAAAGGAATTGAATACAATTAAAAGCAACTCAAGTAAAAATGACTGAACCTAAAACTGTCATGGAGGCAGAGGATCTTTTAAAATCCCTCACGGCCACACGCAGAGGGAAACTTGGAGTGTGCACAAGAAAACTAAATGAAACTAAAGCCCTGCTCACTGACGGTGGAAATGTTGATGATGTTGATAATTGTATGGATATGTTTAAAACTGCTATGGATGAATTCAATAAAGTGCATCATTCTCTCCAACAACTCTTATCTGAAGAGGAAAAGGACATTGATGTAACAGACTGGTATGAACCCAGAATTATGAACTTTAATTACTTTGCAAAGGAAGTTAAAGCATGGAGAAGAGAACGTATTGCACAACTACAAGTTGATCCACTTGACAGTATCTCCAATGCCTCAAAAAGGACTACAACATCAAGGGCCTCATCTGCTGCTAATTTAGCATCAGCAGAAAGGGCAGCTCTGGAGGCTAAGTCACTGCGACTGGAGGAAACAATTCTCAAATCAAAAATGGAAAAGGTGGAGATGGAATCACAGATTGCAGCAGCAGATGCCAAAATGAGGGTTCTTCTCAGCCCAAATGAGGATGATCATCTTGGGGATGCTATGAATGCTTATTTAGATGAAGTTAAACTGGACAATGTGGAGCAAACGTATACAGACACTTCTGTCTTGGAATTTATTGAAGTAGCTGCTGTACCTAAAACTCCACTACATAGAACAATTGTGGATTTCCATAAAAGATCTCGGCAAGCAAAAGGTGCATCAAGCCCACAACTGGAAAATCCTGCAATCAACACTTTTACTCAGGAAAACCTCAACACACTGGCACAGAGACAAAAGGACATCGC